AGTAAATTTTCTGGAATAATACTGTGCTGCTGCATGCTTGTGTTATTTTTGCCCCTAGTTACAGCACCAGGCTCCTGTCCCACTCCTGGGGCACACCTCCCATTGCTGTCCCAGTTATTTGGAAACAGCCTGTATTTCCATGCCCTGGGTTAGGTTTGCTCTTGCTTCCAATATCCCACTCTTCTTTTCTCCCAACTTTCCTACAACCAGTACCATCAAGATATGGTTTCTAGCCCACTACTAGAACCTACTGCTGACAGGAACATGTTCATAATTTTTTTACAAAGATAATTTGAGAATAATGAGAACATCTTAATCATACTCAATGTATAAATGATGAACTTATTTTTTAAAACAGTTAAACATAACATAATCATAAAAATATTGAAGAAGAGTGAGGTTAGCTTGGGTCACTGGTTTCTTTTTTCACCAGGAGAAGACAAATGTTCTTGAGCCAAAGATAACTAGCTGGTCAAAAGTTTCAGGACTGCTGATCTATTCCCCTCCCTCCTTCTCTCCCTTCCCTCCAACCTTTCCTTCCTTTTCGTCTCTTTAGTCTTCTTATGTGTGTTACGGAGTAGTTGCAGAAGCCCTGCAGAGGAATTCATCATTAACCCATGCATATATAGTATGAGTGTTTTTCATGTCAATAAATACACCACTTCGCCATCGCTTACATTGCTGCTTAACTGTGTACACAGCTATGCCATAATTAACTTAACTAATCTTCAAATATGGCACATTCTGATTCCTTCCCAACTTTTTTTGCTGTTACAAGGCATGGTAGGCTATGGCCTTGCTAAGATCTAAGCACCTGCTTTTCAGTTATTTCCTGCTTCTTCATCTACCTATTTGCCTCCTCAAGGAATGCTTGCAGGTGTGGGTTCTCCCTTTTAGAAACACATCACCCAATACGGGATTCAAATACACCGAGTAACTTTGTTATTATATGATAAGCATTGTGCTTCAAAACTTGGATTTTACCTGTTTGCTTGCTGTGTGACCTTGGACAAGATATGTAGGATCTCTGTGCTTCAGTTTCCTCACCTATGATATGGGGATAATAATAGTACTTATTTCACAGGGTTGTTGTAAGAATTAAGGAAATGATGTATGCAAATAGCACAGAAGTGTCCAGCATTTAGTGCCTGCTCAATGTTGACTGTCATTAATGATGAGAAGCTTGCTTTATCTTTCTATTCATGCTATTAAACCTGAATTTTTATGGAAATATGGCTACAGAGAGAACTTTTTTTTTTTTTTGGCAAGGAATGTAAGGAGCAGAGAGGGGAGTACAGTGGTCTCAAGAGGGTAAAGCATCTATTAGGAAATACGATCAGTTCTAATTATGGGGCCAGGTATCACAATTTCTAATATGAGGGAGTTGCTGAACCAGGATGCAGGCTGTCAGAGGTGTTTCACTAGCAGTCAATTTGGCTGAGATCTGTATAGTCACCAAACATCAAACCATCACCTACCATCAGCGAGGTTGTGTGTTCCCACACACTTAAATTATTATGATATTTCTTGTTAGTGAATGGTGTACATGTATTTTCTCTTTCCCCTAGCATTCTTTTTTCTTCCTTCTTTTCTTAGTGTAAGTAGAGAATAAGGAAAGTTCTTATTGACTTGGGTTTGTCCTAAAAAATAGACTTTATTGTACTCACTTGACCTCCTTAGCGAGCCTTTTCTGTAAACAGTTTTCCACTGTTCAGCAGAGTTCTGGCAGCTATAAGACCCCTCAGTGGGAGCAGGGACGAGGTATAAACTTGGAAACTATTTTAGGAGACAGGAAAATGTGGGGAATTGGGGGTCATTTGTTCACTCTCAACTACTAGAGGAGTACAACGAAAAAATCTGAATTAAGGATTTTTCTGCGTTTTAATTATTAGACCAAGTCCTTGCTTGATAAGAAAATAAATCCAACGATAAATCAAATGTATGAAGGAAAGACCAGGCATGTTTCTTATCTCTGTGTTCTCAAGTGCGGAAAGCAAAATTGCACATCAAAATGCTGATCTTCATTCTTAATCATGTACTAGAGTAATGAAGCCCCAGAAAGAGTAAAGCCATCCGTTCTTTTACGTAGGCAGAAGTTCTTGCCCATTCCTTTGGATCATGTTGCTGGTCCTCCTTGTATCCTACACTGTTACTGTGTGGGACAGGAGCCTTGGAGGAATAGCCAAAGCCCAGGGCGCGTGAGCAATCTGCGAGCAGTCCAGCTCATCAGCAGGCTGGTATCTTACGAGGTTTTCTTCCGACCCAGGAGTCCGCTTCAGCCTTCCTTCAGAAAATGTTTCCTAGAATATATTCTTGCGATTAAACTACACAGAAGTTGTTTTCTAAAGAAAAAGCAGGAAGGAAGAATTGATTAACCATTACTTCCAACTCAATATTGTCTGCTAGAAATTTTATGGACACTGGATATAACAGAGTGCTTTCACTCTAGAGCAGGTGTCCCAAACTATGGCCCGCGGGCCGCATGCAGCCCCCTGAGGCCATTTATCTGGCCCCCCGCCACACTTCAGGAAGGGGCACCTCTTTCACTGGTGGTCAGTGAGAGGAGCACAGTATGTGGCGGCCCTCCAACGGTCTGAGGGACAGTGAACTGGCCCCCTGTGTAAAAAGTTTGGGGACGCCTGCTCTAGAAATTGAGTATCTATTCTAGAACCCATGGTGATTTTCAAAGTTTCAAAATTTCTTCCATGTATTCAGGGAAAATACAAGTAGAGAAACATTACTATTTTTTAAGCCTCATTAAGTCAGCATTGTAGATCAAGGCCTCCTCATGGGTTACAGACGAAAGTAGCAACTGTATGACTGTGTCACTTCAGTGTCCATCAAGAGAGAAATAGTACATCCATAGTATGGAATCTTATACAGCCATTAGAAATGAAATACCTCTACTGGATATGCACTGATGGGGAAGCTCATCTTTCATAATTTCTTTAGAAATATAATGGTGCAAAACCTTATTCAGGGTGTGATCTCATTTTTGTAAAAACGTAAAACCAAAATGTATAAATGAATATATAGGTATAGGTATCTGCTTCATTAAGAATAAGAATAATATATTTCAACTGTTAACAGTGGATTACCGAAGGTATCGAAATTTTTTTTTTTAATTGGAGGGGATGGTGGCAAGGGAGTGGGAGGCATTTTCACTTTTAATTTATTCACATCTGCATTGTTTGGAATTTTGTTCATAAACATGTATTTTCATAATACTTTACATAATTTTTTAAAAAATGTATCAGGAATAAATCTCTCTGTATATCTGGTGGTTTGAAGCTCTATACCAGAAGGAAACACAAAGTCAATCAGCAAATAGTGCAAATGACAAGTATCTCTTCTCCTGAAGAAACTCCTTTAAAATTACAGTATAAATTGTCTCAACTTGCAAATACATAGCTGATACATGTTACAGATTACAAGAGGTAAAAATGAAATCCAAGGCTGTATGATAGAAGTCATTACATCTTATCTGAGTGGCCTGATAATAATAGCAAAAGGGAATCATGTATATACATACAACTTTAAAAGATGCCGAAAGTATGCAAATATTTTCATAATAGTCCTAGGAAGGTATGCTGCCTCTGTATTATGATACCTAACATCATAGATACTGATTTTCATCCTTATACCTTCCTTTTTAAGAGTTCCATTTTAACATAGAGGACAACCATTTCCATGGCAATGAATCCAGTAATTAGTGAACATATTTGTATTGAGAACCTAATGTTAGGGGTACGGGAAGCACAAAGACAAATGAGAACCAATAATTTCCCTCTGGGATGAAGTACTAGAATGCTACACGGGTACACAGTGCTATGAATAAACTAGAACTTTTTTTTTTTTTTTTGAGACAGGATCTCATTCTTTTGCTCAGGTTGGACTGCAGTGGTGTGATCTCAGCTCACTGCAACCTCTGCCTTCTGGTCTCAAGGGATTCTCCTGCCTCAGCCTCCTTAGTAGATGGGATTACAAGCATGTGCCACCTTGCCTAGCTAGTTTTTGTGTTTTTAGTAGAGATGGGGTTTCACCATGTTGGCCAGGCTGGTCTTGAACTCCTGACCTTACATGATCTGCCCACCTCAGCCTCCCAAAGTGCTGGGATTACAAGCGTGAGCCACTGCACCCAGCCAAACTAGGGCTTTAGAATAGAGTGATTGGTCCCTCCAAAGGGAGGTGTTTTGTTTTCTATTTTGTTTTGTTTTAGGATAGGAAAAACAAAATGATTGTAAGCAGAGAGATTCTTTCCTCTTTGTATATTCTTCAGTATAGAGAGGAGATGAAGAGATGATTAAGGGAAAAGAGGTAATTAACTAGATATGCCCTGGAAGAAGCAGAGAGAGAGCCCAGGGGAGAGACTGGCCTTAGATAGAGGAAGACTATCATCCAGAATCTACAGAAGCAGGAAGAGGGCCTGAGCAGTGAGGCAAAGGAGGAGGAAACAAAGGAGTCAATTTGACTTTCTCCATCTGGTGAGAAGTGACTTTACTGACAGAGTGTGAAAGAGTAGTGGTAGGTTTGGGGGCTGTAGAAAGATTTGGAATAGGCACTGTGAAGAATGGAAGATCACCTGGAATGATTAAAAAGATAGTGGGGCATCACTGAAGTGCCAGCTGAGGCAGAGTAGCATGAATTTTTAGTGAAGTTAATTTAAAAAATATTCTTGTTACTTTTTCTAGCAAATGCAGCAGCCAGGCACAGGGGCATAGAAATTCAGAGTGGCTAAAATGGATTGAATGTAGAAATCAGATGATTCCTATAATGAAAGCTTCATATGAAAATTCACTGGAAATTAGTCAAATAATTGCTTCATTACAGATTTCACTTTGTCAGTGTTTCTTTTCCCTTAAATTTTATAGTCTAATATGTACTTCTATAAAGAGGTGGAACAATATCCTGTACTTTAAATGTTAACCAACCAGGTAATGCCATTAGAATTTCTAAAGCATCTAGTTCACAGTTGCTTCTCATACATTATGTGTTTTTAGGCTGGAAAAACTAATAACATCCTTTCTGGAAGACCAGGATCCAGAGAGTAGATTAGAGGTTGGCGCTGATATGCGTAAAATTCATCACTGTTTTCATCATTTAAAGGTAAACTTAAATGTTTCCCCAATGAAGCCATTTTCAGCCATGTTCAAGCTGCAAAAAAAGTTTTCTAGTTGACCAATTCTTAGAAGGTTAGGATCCAGCATTGTATGCCCAGAAAATGGTACGGTCTTTGAACCAATAGTCTGATTATCACTGAGTTTCTTCAGAGAGTATATCTTACTTGCCAATAAATAAACTCAGGCCATGGACTTCTAATTCTTTTGCCAGGAACCTCTACCTTCTGCACAGAGTAGTTCCATATTTTAAAAAATATATTTTCCTCCCTGAGGGGAGCATCACACACTGGGGTCTGTTGGGGGGAACAGGGGAGGGATGGTGTGGGGTAAGGAGGTTGGAGAGTGTAACGTGGGGAGAAATGCCAACTATAGGGACAGGGGGATGGAGGCAGCAAACCACCTTGCCGTGTATGTACCTGTGCAACAGTCCTGCATGATCTGCACATGTAACCCAGAACCTAAAGTGCAACTATATATATATATATATATATTTTTTCGAGCTATATCAAGAGCATTGCATTCTGCATTTTTTCAACAGTTTGATATATCCATATGATATTTCAGTTTTTCTCTGCCATAGGTTTTAATTTTCATGATGAGGGGCTGGGAATATCATCACTTTTACTTCTAGCTGGCTTGCATTTTTGCATACTTCATTAATATAATAAACATTTGTTGTGAGTTACTAAGGACCAGATATAAATAAGGCAGAGTTTAATAAGCAACTCATGGAGAAGACAGATGTGGTAAAGAATAATCACAATACATGATAAGTACTAGAATTAAAGTGTGAATTAAGTGGAATGATATGTAGAGAAAAGGAAAGGAGTCCAAGAGGAGATAATGTTGAGTAGGAATTTCCCAAGTTAGGGAAGGAGAGAGAAGATAAGAGGGGCTTGAGGGGGATGGGGAAGGAAGAGGGAAAAGAAGGCAGGTAGAAGGGAGAAAACATTCCAAGCCAAAAAAGCAACTTCATCACTAAGACATTGCACTTGCCATCAGGCAGGTCACACATGCCTGATGTGTGCAGGGAATGGTTAAAGGAAAAACAGTCAAAGAAACAAAGAAATCTGGACTAGAGATATGGATGCTAAGCTCTTACTTCATCTTATAGAAACTATTGAATGACAAGAAGATCCTTGGAAACAGTACAGTCTCCTCTGAAAGCAAAGACCAAGACTGTCAGGAACCATTAAAAGAAGAAGAATATAGAAAGCTACAAGATATTCTAAAGCAGAGAGATAATGAAATCAGTATCCTTTCTAAAATGATGAAGAAACTTCCTCTCTCCTGGTTTGAAAGGGGTAAACAACAGTCTTTCCCGAGCCGCATGGCTGAGCTCCCCACCCAGCTTCCAATTCACATTGCTTCTTTCCATTGAGAAGTCAAATGTCCCTTCAGCAAAGTCCTGCAACTAGTGAAAAAATGTTTCTATAAAAGAAAAAAAAAAGTGTTTGTTTTTAGCCTGACATAGTTACTCTTGCAAGGAACATTTTACTTTATTTTAATGTATGAGCTTTTTTACATTATCTTTTAACATTAATTTTTAAAAATATATTGTTTGGCTCCTCTGTTTGTTCTTTTTGTTTTAGCCCTGAGCCAGTAAGTTAGCTGGTTATCTTTAGCGAGCTGACCGGACACCAGGCTGACCACAGCCTCACCATGGCCCAGAATTTGTGGCTGGTGCGTGGGTGAAACTCAAATGATGGCTGAAAAACGACAAATGGTATTTAGCTTATGAAGATCAGAGATTGATTTAAATTTAACTTCTTATTTAAAAGCCAGATCTACTGCTGTGAGTTCCAGTTACAAATGTTCCCAAATTCGGAAGTGAGGATAGATGAGTGTTCAAGATAGAATTCTTTTTTTTTTTTTTTTTTTTTTAGCTAAACTGATCAGTACCAAATAAGAGAGAATGCTTACTGGCTCCAGGAGGCAGTGTATTTTGGGTGCTGAAAGTGGTAGTAGCCCATGGGAGCATGTGCTGCCTCTAGTTGTAGACTAAATGGTTACTTCTAAGGAGCCCCTGTCAGGCTGGTTGGCCCTCAGGCCTCCCAGATCATTATTCAGTATTGTTTCTTATTTTATCTTTCAAGCTTCTTGTAAAAAGATTTTGACATTTTCATTGCTTTTGCAGAATTTAAACATGCACAAGAAATCCTTTTGGTTCATTCTTTACAAACAGATATTTTTGTTCATTTAAAAAAATTACTAAGAGACACTTTCGCCTCAGCTGTTTATGCAAAATGCGTGAAACTAGTCTACACCAAGGAACTCAATAATAAAGAGGTAAAAACAAACCAAATGTGAGGTAGGCGTGCTGCCCGATTAACTTCGGTCTCTGATTTTACTTGAGTATTAGCAGACCCTGTGTGTCAGATTCAAGTGAGTTTTAGCTCCCTTGTTATCTGGCCAGGAACGGTGGGTTCAGCTGAGAATTACCCCCACCCTGACGCAAGCCTTCATCCGTCAGTGCTGCCCACGGTGTTGTCACCCTTGCATTCCCTTTCCTTCCTTTTACACCATCCATCTCCAAGCATGGTCTCCTCCTGGACCTCAATCCTGGCCCCAGCCCGTCTGAGCTCTGCTTCTTTTCCTGGCCTTGATCCTAGTCTAGGATCTTCTCCTTTAATTGCTCCTACCAACTTCTTAATCCCCGTCTGGGCTTATGAATGTCTGCACATATAGGAGGGATGAAACGAGATATGACAGACAAAGAACAGTCCAAGCTTGTTCCTATATGTTTATTTTAAAAAGAGAGTGAAAGGGAGATATCCATCACCTCTCCTCCTTCACTCTGGTGACTCCAGGCATCACTGTTCATGTGGGGTTACCCTAGATTCTTTACTGACTGTCAGCAATTCAAGCAGCGCTCCCTCTATCTGAGATGCTTATTCAAAATGATGGGGAGTCAGAGTGGAAAGAATATTGCACTTCAATTCATACCTCAATTGAAATCCTAGCCCTTCATTTATTAGCTGTATGCCTACTCAATGAAGTTGCTTTTTATTCTTCAGGAGCAGGAGCATAAGACCTGCTGAGAAAAGCCCATAAGTGGCTGGGCATGGTACATGGCTCACGCCTGTAATCTCAGCACTTTGGGAGACCAAGGCAGGTCAAGAGATCAAGACCATCCTGGCCAACATGGTGAAACCCCGTCTCTATTAAAAATATAAAAATTAGCTGGGAGCAGTGGCACACACCTGTAGTCCCAGCTACTCAGGAGACTGAGTCAGGAGAATCGCTTGAGCCTGGGAGGTGGAGGTTGCAGTGAGCTGAGATCATGCCGCTGCCCTCCAGCATGGTGACAGAGCGAGACTCCATCTAAAAAAAAAAAAGAAAAAGAAAAAAAGAAAAGCCCATAAATGCTTTGAGCATTACCGAGTGTGATGTAATTGGAATTATGACTATGACGACAATGAGTAAGCTCAGAAGAAAGAAGAATAGCAGCTAAGATTTAATCATCTCAGAGCTGTGCTTATCAAAGATCAACAACCAAGAAAGACTCCTGGTTTCACAGTTACACAGAGTCGGATGGGAGGATATTTTCATGTCTTTCTTTGTAGAACCCAGAAGGCTAAGACTGTGACACAACAAATGGGAAAGATCTAGCTTCTAGGAAATAAAAAAGCAATTATAATTGAGTTTAACAAAAGACAGTCATGCACCCAAATGATTGTGAACAACATCAGATCTTCTTGGAAAGGGACTGAAAATGATGTCCTGTCAGTGACATCCTCAGTTTGAATGACGTTCACACACCCTTCAGAAAATATATGACAGGGGGATTCATTACCGAGCTAAGTGCTTGGCAGCAAGGCCACTCCCATAAATGGGAGTAGGGAGGACAAGAAGGCAGGGGAAAGGTGAGAAGAAGGAAGGCAGCACAGAAGATAGATTCATATTGTGATCTTTATGACAGATACGTCAGAACGCATCATTATTCTGATGAAAATCTTCAAGGGGCTTCCCGTGATACTTAGAATGAAACCAAACTCCTTGCTCCGGTTTACAAGGCCCTGGGGGATCTTGCCCTGCCCACCCCCAACATCATTTCTCACGCCTCATCCCATGTGTGCTCTGCTTCAGTCACAGTTGCCTTCTTGTCGTTCTTCTAACACGAAGTTCCTCAGCCTTGGCTCTATCGACATTTGCGGCTGGATAATCCTTCATTGTGGGAGCTGTCCTGTGTGTTGTATGATGTGGGATCACAGGATTGCAGTATTATGAGCCACTGCTAGGCCTGTTTCTTTTTAGGGATTTCACCATTTCCTCTGCGTAGATGCTCTGGCTGGTTCTTCTTACGGGTCAGATCTCAGCTTGAAGATCACTCTTAGGCCTTTTGTGGCACCCAATGCAGAGCAGCCACCCAGTCACCCTTGAGCTTCTTCAAATTAGATATCTGGCACTCTGGCGTTTTTTTTTTTTTTTTTTTTTTTTTTTTTTGTGTGTGTGTGTGTGCGTGTGCATGCATGCATGTGTGCGATCTCTTTCCCCAGTAAGACATCTGCTTCATGAGAGCAAGAGACTAGTCTGCCTTGTCATTGCTCTATACCCATGCCTAGAACAGGGCCTAGCATCTACAGCGGAAGCTTCGGCAAGTATCACTGACTGAGTGAGCAAACGGATATTGCCATTGCAGTGTGTGAACCAGTGGAAGTGTATGATGACATTGGTAATCAGTTCCATACAAAGAGGAGCAGCGCGTTGGGCCAGAGCCGCCCTCATCTTCTCTGTCGTGTTCATGCTTAAATACTAAGAAGCTGTGAACATTTTTGGTAAGTACATGTTGTTTTGGGGCAAGGAACGGAAGCCACATCAGAGAGAGAAAAACTGATTATGCTCCCAGAAATCACCAAATGGGAGTTAAAGCTGAGGAGGAAGGTGAAGGTCAAATGACTTCCATGCTGCTTGCTCAAGAATGAATATAATCTGGGTACCTCTCCCCCTTTCTAAGTAGCAGTGTTCTGTGCCACACCATCGCACATTTAGACTCCCATTTTAATTAACCTTCTCTAGGGATGCAAAGGCATTGAATTCATCTTACCATATACGCAATTAGAGTTCTGAGATTCTCAATAGGGATTCTAGTCATTCCTTTTAGCAGATTGGACAAAAATCTCTTAGAATTCTAGGCATCTTGAGCCCAGAATGAACGGCAAAGCAGGGTAGAGGGGAGTGCTTTTATCCTTTATCATCAATGGTCTTGGCATATCTCAATGGCCCCCAAAAGGTGCATTTTAAAATGACATGTCTGTGCAAATAATTCACTTCTTTTCAGTTCCATTTGAGTACAAAAATTAGTGGCTGAAAAAGCCCTCATCTGAAGGTACTCTACATACGCATGTGTTGAGCTTGGAGTGCTCTCACTGCACCTTTGTCACCTCACTGCCCACCAGGAGGAAGATGGCTGATCTGCCAGCTGGGTGACTTTCACCATTCTCCCTCTCTGCTCTTCTGCTGCCTCCTGAGCAGGCAGAAGCAGGCTCGACCAGGAGGCTGATACGTATACATAGGCTATGTAAGTAAATTCACCTTTTATCTGGGAAGTTGTATACATGGTCTACTGTCTGCTGCTATTTAGCCTTCATTTGACTTTTTATAAGCACTTCCATAACATTGTTAATATGTACCTGCTTTAAACTCAGAACATTTTAAAGCCCTTGGGTTTGCTAATTTTTCATATAATGATGCTATATTGAAAGAAAGCCTCCTAAATTGTCCATAGCTATATACAGGGCTTCAGGAAGTTGAAGCCTTCCTTCAGTCAGTCTTTGCCACATGATAAATAGCAAATGTTAGGCACATTAATGACACTTGGGACATTCGTGTTTTGATTACTATAAGCTAGCATCAGTTATTAAATCCTTAAGTCAACTTTCAGATATCCTGGTCAACATGCTAAAAAAAGAAAAGAAGAAAGTTCAGGAGGCTCTCTACTTGCCTGCCAAGGGTAGACATGAATTCAGACACTCCCAGAGCCCACCCTTCCCCCCGGGAAACCCAGAAGAAGGCCAAAGAATGCTGCTATCCTCAGCTCCCTCACAGGCCCAGGACTTCAGCACTTTGGGGTACAGATCCAGTTTGCTCCACAAGAAAACAGGTCAGTTGCCTAAATTTTCAATATTTCTCATTGTCTGTAATGGATTTCAGTGTAGCACCCTTTAGTTTTAGATGTATCAGGATGAAGGCTCAAACAATTTCTTTGTTAGAATTATGTTTCATAACTATCAGTTCTCTTAAATACCAGTTTCCCAAACTGACAACTGAACTGAAAGGAACCAAGTATGATTTTTTTTTTTTACTTTAGGTTCTGGGGTACATGTGAAGGTCATGCAAGGTTGTTGTATAGGTGCATACACAACCAGGTGGTTTGCTGTCTGCATTCCCAAGTATGAATTTTCACAGAATTCAGTGGTATAATAGATGGGTTCAGGGTAAGAGTAAAAAAGTTAACTTTAGAGAAATAGAACAAAAACCTCTCTCTGATATGGGAGGGAAAGAATAAGATCAGATATTGCTGATGTGACGATGCTGCGGTGTTTCTTTCTAAATCCAAATGAGCTACCTGCAGGAAAACTATTTTAAAATATTACCACAGTGTTAAATGGCAATAAATTAAGAAAACTTTGTCAGATAATAACATTTGGTGGGGTTGGGCCAACTCAGAGCCACCTTTCCTGTTCCCAGCTTTTGAATGGTGTGGCAGTCCTGCTGCTACAGACTGTGCTGGGAGTCCAAGTTCATTCATGTATGTTTCTGTTAGGCCAGCAGAGCATGATGTGCACACAGGTGGCTGATGCCTTTCCCTTAAAGACACTGAGGAATCAGACCTATGGAATGTGCTGGAACAAATGGGTAAAGCCCTTCCCTTTTTGGCAACCGAAGTTGAAATTTTTTGTATAAAGATGTGCGGAATGGTATACCTGACACTTGTGGTTTTCTGAAGGATTCAGGCTGGGAAAATTAAGCAGTGTGGTGCTCATTAAGAAGCATTAAGTATTTTAGTTAAGGCAAGATTGAGAAGCATGGAAATATATATTGTGGCATTATAGTTCTTTATCTCTTAATTCCGTATCTCCTTGCTTTGAATATTTTTTTCAGCAACACAGTAGAACAAACTCAAAATCCCAGGAAACCAAAAATGCTATTTACCACTTATCATGATGGCAGTGGAATTATTAATGAAGATCGATAATTCCTCCCTGTGGTAGTTTTCTATACATCTTTGCTGGTTGAAAAAAAAAAAAGTGGCCTTTCGAATTGCTGAATTCATTAATTTGTTCATTCATTTATTCATTCCTCTTTCATTCCATGAAGGTTTATAGAGTACATCATTTATTCTAGGCATAGTGCTAATTAGTATTATTATAGCCACAGCTTACATAGCCCCTATATACATCAGGTACTATTCTAAGTTCTCTGCCTGGATTAACTCATTTAATCTTTATCCTATAAGTTCTTGTTTTATTTCATATTACAGAGCAAAGCATACACGGGCAAATGCAGCCTCTGACCTCAGAGTATGTACAGACTGACAGGGAAGAGAGCCCTTTGGGAGGCTAAGGCAGGCAGATCACCTGAGGTCGGGAATTTGAGACCATACTGACCAATATGGAGAGCCTCATCTCTACTAAAAATACAAAATTAGCCGGGCGTGGTGGCACATATTTGTAATTCCAGCTTCTCTGGAGGCTGGGGCAGGAGAATCGCTTGTATCCGGGAGGTGGAGGTTGCAGTGAGCCGAGATCACACCATTGCACTTCAACCTGGTCAACAAAAGCGAAACTCCATTTCAAAAAAAAAAAAAAGAATAATCGATTACAAAAGTACACGTCTATATTACTGAGAAAGCACATACCAAAAACCCAACTTCCAGTAAAAACTAGAAAAGTCCCAAAAGGGGAGTAAAGGTCAAGATGTGGCTAGAAGGAATACTGCAAGCAGAGAGAATCAGTGGCTTGAATAGCTTTCCAGGCCTTTGTGGTGGAGAGGAACATTTTAGGAAGTACAAAAGCCAGGTCTAGTTAGGATCTGGAGAGTGAGAGACTGGGAAGACAGGTTGATTGACATGGGCAGAAGGGATTGGCAGAGGACACTAAAACAGCATGACCAGTTAGGAGGCCTTGGCAGCAGGCCAGGCTAAAGGACAGGGATGATGAAAGAGAGGCAGGGGCATCAGAAGCATTTATGAGGTCGAGTGGACAGGGATCGGTGGCAGATTGGATGTTGCAGGTAAGGGTAAGTATTGGCCCCCAAGTGTCTGGGTGGCTGGCGAGGCTTTTCATGGAGATAAGGAGCAGTGAGTGCCTTTCCTGGCCCCACAATTTCCCCAATTGACATTGTTGGCCATAGAGAGCATGGGATTGGCATCTCTGCTGAAATAAAATCAGTACTCTTGTTAGAGCCTCATGGCTCATGATAGAGGGAGCTCTGTTTAATGGCCTTTTCCAAAGACACACACTATTATACTCAGGCAGAAATGGCCTCAGATATCACTGCCCAGCCCCTCGTTGTGTGCCAGACCTTTTCTATTTCTATGTCTTCTTGCCCACACCATCTCCCTTGTCATAATTCTTCTTCCCCACAGCATCTTATAATCACTCTCCTTCCTTACAATTATAGTCAAGATTTTGAGTAACTCTTTTCCTCCCTTGATATTGCTATTGAGACAGACTATAGTTTTGTTTGGAGGATGAAAGAAGTTTACTTGAATAGAAAATCACTGAAAAAATAATGGAAATTTTTTTTGTAAAGACCAAGTACAAATGAGGTTAAAGTTTTGGAGAAGAGCCTTCTGTTTGAAAGGGTTTTTTAGTTGTTTTAACTGTCATTGGATATAGTTCTACTAATGTAAACAGAGGTAGGCTCACAAATGGACTGATAATGATCTAACCATTTGGGGGAGGGATTCACTGGGGATTGATTTTTCTTTTTTTTTTTTTTTTTTTGGCAAAACTAGAAATAGGATGAAAATTGTGGATGAATCAAGGCGGCAAAGAAACAGGTAATGGAATAGTTCATTGCAATGTTTAAGATTTTAGGAACTGATCAGGCTTTTATTACTGCATTATTTTATACACAAGAAGCTTATATAAACTAAACCAAAAACAAAAAAAAATTTAATACGTATGTTGTTTTGAAAGTAATTCTGCCTTATGTCAGTGTTATCAGTTTCTATTAACTGTCCCCAGGACTGCTTCTAATGCAGAAAGTAAGTAAATCTAACCATTTCTGAAACTGTTGTGAAACTGTCTCCCCTTTGACAACCTTCTTCCATCTCCCATTCACCTCCACTTTACCACTTTATACTGAAAATAACTCCCATCAAATTAGAAAATGAAACCAAATTCATGGTCCCCTAGAGAGCCCTGCAGAGTCATTGCACAAGCAGCCTGACAAGGCCAAGGAAGGTTAGGGGCTTGGGGCTTTTTGTTGTTGTTTTGGAGTTTAAATGTCTGTTTTTGTTTCATTGAAATAATGAGAGGGATTGTTCAGCTCCATAGTTGGGAAAGAGTTGTATTGTTCACATTAAAATAGGAGGAGTTTTAAGGTTGAGTTAAAAAAAAAAATCTGTTTTAGTTTTCCGACTGCCTGTTCTAAATAGTCACCTGGAACCAGTCAGTATTCTGAAAGCCCTGATGACTCACCACCTCCTTTAACTCTTTGAGATGCCAACAGAACCCACTCATCACAGATGATGCCACTGGCATTTTAAAAGGTGAAATGAAAGCCAGAGCTGTAGCCTGGAGGCTCCAAACTCTTATTTCCTATTCCACGAGAATTTGTTGCGTCCCTGCTGTGTACATGTAAAGGCCCGGGTACGTGTAGGCAATGCCAAGGTGAACGAAGAATGGGTCTCTGGTTTGGGGGGCTTACATTTAAACAGTAGAGGCTGGCGTTGCATCCAAAAAGCAGAGGCTAAAATAACAAGTGCTCTAAGCAGGAACTGGAAAAAATACTGTGGGAATTCAAAGGAAAAGGGGAGGATTTAATAAGTAGATTGAGAGAAGCATTTCAGAGCAGGTGACATGAAAGTCAAATCTCAAAGGATGGGCAGATTTTGGACATTCAAAGATGGAAGAAAGAACATTTCATAACATTCCAGTCTTAAAGAATAATGTGAACATTTGTATGTCTTTAGAGAAATGTCTATCAGGTCACCCATTTTTTTTCTTTTATATATATGTGTGTATATGTATATATATATATATATATATATATATATATATATATATATATATATATATTATTGCATGTTACGGTCTGGGGTACATGTGCAGAAGGCCCGGGTACATGCAGGATTGTTGCATAGGTACATACATGGCAATGTGGTTTGCTGCCTCCATCACTGTCACCTATGTCTGGCATTTCTCCCCATGTTATCCCTCCCCAACTCCCTACCCACTGCTGTCCCTCCCCTAATCCCCCCCAACAGACCTCAGTGTGTAATGCTCCCCTCCCTGTGTCCATGTGTTCTTATTGTTCAACACCCACCTAGGAGTAAGAACATGCGGTGTTTGATTTTCTGTTCTTGTATCAGTTTGCTGAGAATGATGGTTTCCAGATTCATCTATGTCCCTACAAAGGATGTGAACTCATCATTTTTTATGGCTGCATAGTATTCCATGGTGTATATGTGCCACATTTTCCTTGTCCAGTCTATCATCAGTGGGCGTTGGGGTTGGTTCCTGGTCTTTGCAAATGTAAACAGGGCCTCAATGAACATACATGTGCATGTGTCTTTATAGTAGAACAATTTATAATCCTTTGGATATATACCCAGTAATGGGATTGCTGGGTCAAATGGAATTTCTAGGTCCTTGAGGAATTGCCACACTGTCTTCCACAATGGATGAACTAATTTACACTCTCATGAACAGTGTAAAGTGATCCTATTTCTCCACATCCTCCCCAGCATCTGCTGTCTCCAGATTTTTTAATGATCGCCATTCTAACTGGCATGAGATGGTATCTCAAAGTGGTTTTGATTTGTATTTCTCTAATGACCAGTGATGATGAATATTTTTTTCATATGTTTCTTGGACTCATATATGTCTTCTTTTGAAAAGGGTCTGTTAATAGCCTTTGCCCACTTTTGAA